TTTCGTGCTGCTCCTGCCCCTGGGTGCCCCCCTCCATTGCCATGGCCACAGTATTCTTGTAAGTTCTGACGCAAAGTAACCAGTGCAGAGCCCAGACAGGCACGATTTGGAGCCAAGACACCCCCAGGCAACTGGAAGAGGACAGTAGCCACCCCAGCCATGCCGTCATCAGTGGGCTCCAGGGTGATGGGCCCTACTTTAAAAGAGGAATAGGAAAAGCCCATGAGCTGCGAGAGGAAGGGGTCAGAGCGGCAAAAGTGCTGGTAGCCGCTGTACGTGGACGGATGGTGATGTGAGGCTGGGGTGCCAGTGGTGGTGCTGGCATAGTGGTGAGTGTTCAGGTAGTGAAGTGGCAGGTGCTGGCCACTGTTGCCCCCTCCGCCCAGCGTGAGGTGATGGTGGTGGTGGACTGTGGGTCCAGAACCTGGGTCATGTTTGTATGAGACAGCTCCTGCCCTGCCCCTCTGGCCCACCACCACTCCTCCTAACTTGCCTGTGCGGGCATGAGCAAGCGATACAGTGCTGCCCCCCACCCCACCACCAGCTGAAGGCAGGTAGATGAGCTGAGGCTCCTCTGGCTCAAGGTATATGGTGAGTTTAGCAAAGGGTCTTGACGCCATCTTGGTCATCTCCTGGATGTGGCGACGTTGCTCCCGACGGAAGTCCAGGAACTGCTTAACCTTCCACAAAAGGACGCAGACAGACAGGAAGAGGAAAAAGCAGGAGAAGAAAACAGAGAAGAAGACAAAAAGATCGATGTGTGCTTGGTCCTGTCGTAGAAACAGCAGGCCCTGGGACTCTCCCTGTCTCTCGTCAGTCCCCACACCTCTCAAAGCAATGTAGAAGCGGCTGGATTTCAGGGAGTGCACCTCATGGGGGAAGGTGATGACCACACGATCTCGAACACCTCGGACAATCAGCACCGTCTGTGGTTTCCACACAGTGATGTAGGTGATGAGTCCTGCAGCCCGCTCCTCCCTAATCTCTCTCTCTCCCCCTGGGGGTTTTGCTTGCAACTGCAATGGATTCTGGGAGAGCATGGGACCCCCCAGACTAGATGAGGTGTTTGCAAACACCTTAATAGGAGATGGAGGTGCATCCTTATCCATCATTGTCCCTCGAGTTACTGATTCCTCTTCAATCTTGATGGTGTGAATCCCTGTGTACCGGTCCACATCCACAATGAAGGTGTCATGAGAGTTGGACACGTACACCTCCACTTCACCAAAGGTAACATCAATTGTGACTCGAATGTCCACATTGGTGAACTTTGGCTGGGCAGCAAAGAACACAGTGCGCCCCTTGGGCAGGTTGCGAATGGTGGGATCATGGAAGCAGTTGGTCTGGGATGTGGGGTCAAAGCAGCACTCGGTGTCCACGTTGAACTGACGGTAGCACTGGCGCCCATTCACCGGTGTGCCATTGAATGAGTCTTTGCACTTTGCACACTAAATGGAAGCACATAACAAACATCATTTGGAAAAAAAAAATACAGTAGGTCACAAACTTCTGTCTCAAATTTGAATGTTGCTTTTATAATGTAGAAAAAGAAAATACAAGGACATATTGTGACACAGGCCACCTTCTGTGGTTAGGAAAATCTATAGTTAACAATCTGCAAAGTGAAACACTTCTTCCATATTTGAATTAATCTCTAGCATGTGAATACCTGCTGCCTGTAGCAGTCCTTCCGGTCACTCTGAGGGCTGCTCAGACAAGAAGAGGTCTCTGTGTTGTTTTGGCAGGGGCAACCGGTACCATCGTGTTCATTACATGTGTCTGCATGGCCATTACACTGACATCTGCAATGAGTAATAAAAAAAAGAGGACAAAAATATGTCTTACTAAGTCACTTGCCTCTGTAAGCACTTGTACCATCTTGTTGCAAGGTTTACACAACCTATTTTCAATGCTTTTTTATATGTGACTTAATCTAATTACTAGCATTTTTGTTGCTGTAAGATCGGATAGAAAAGACTGCCTTTGATGGGATAGTGAATTAAAAGATTAAACATTTAGCAGGACAACATGTACTGTATGTACATGGCCTGCTACTGCGTATACCCAAAAATGATGGCAATTGTGAACTAACAAAATATGCAGTAAACAGGTCTCCAAAAAACATTTAAAACCTTTATACCATTATATATGAATATTCAGAGTTTTTGTAATGTTAGTGACAGCAATGGAATCTATTGACTGGTGAGCAATAAACATTACTCACTTCTCACATTTCCCCTGCAGTAGGAAGTAGCCACTGAGGCAGCTCTCACACTTGTCCCCCACACTGTTGTTCTGGCAATTCACACAGACAGCGTTCTCTTCTGTGGGACCCTCAGATACCCAGTCCTGAATCTGATAAGGAAAAAAAAGAGAGATGAACCCTGAAACCTCAGAAGTAGTTAGAATAATGATTGCCTGAGGAAAACTTGACTGGCTTGTTATTTTTCATTTTAGTATTTTTTAAACATATATAATCAAGACAATACCACAAGGACTTCACTTACACTGCTAGGGTCCAGAGGGAACAGCCGTGGGTTGTCAGTGGCCTTCTTATGTTCATCCCGGGACAGACACATAGCACTGTTCCCCCTGCAAAACTCCCGACATGGACGGCAGGTGCCACCCCCCTTGGCAGACCCCACGAACAGTGGCTTACACTTCTCACAGTGCTTACCCTAGATTTGGGTTAGGGGGAAAAACAGTGTATACCAACCAATGTGGGAAAACAGTGTATGGATGTGTATGATTTTAAGCACTTACTATGGTGTTATTGTGGCACTCAAGGCAAACATCTGGTTTGTTAACACCAGCACAGTTGCTGTGTTTGTTGCAGCTGCACTGAGAGGAGCAGTTATCCCCAACAAAGCCAAAGTGACACTGGCAAACTCCTGGGGACACACACGTCCCGTTCACACAGCCTTGTGCACACACTGGCTCACACTGACCAGAAACACTAAACAGAAAAAAAAAAAGCAGAGAGGATCTGGAGTAAACCTCTTCATTGACTAGGTTTTTTTCTATCCTTGTGTATTCACTGTCTGAGGCATAAATGCTACATCCTGATCTTACCTGCTGAGTATGTAACCCTGTTTGCAGGTGCAGTGGTACCCCTGTTGTAGGTTGTGGCAGTCCTGGGTGCTGTTGCAATGGTGATGACCGTTTGAGCACTCATCCTCCTCTGGACAGTTCAGGAAAGACCAACTGCTATTTTCTGGGGGACAAACGCCCTCACTCACACCTGGGAGACATGTATGGATGAAGGTGAGTAAATCAGGGAGTAAAAAACTACAAACACATTAAGAAAAAAAATGTAACTAGTCACAGTCCTCAGTTCCTTTTGAGTGAATGAAATGAGAAGTTATTTCTCACCATCAAGTCCTCCTTGCAGGCAGCGTCCAGCCCCATTGCCCCCCCGAGCAGCACACCAGCCACACTGAGGCCTGGCAATGCACTGGGAGCATTGGGTGAGCTGGGAGCACTGGGGAGAGCAAGAGTCCCCCCCAGAGAGCAGACGACCACACTGACCCGCCTCACATCGCAGTGGCACAAAAGATGGGCTCATACACTGGAGGAAGGGAAGAGAGGTTAGCTGCATATGAAGGTGCTTTAATCAAATACCTCACACAAAGTATTCTCAAAAGCTCAAGCAGGACAGTGTTACCTGCTGCAGAGCCATGCTCCACACACAGTGCTGCCAGCCCCCATCAGAGCCTCTGGAGCCCAGACAGAGGCTGCAGTTATGGAGACTGTGGCAAGGTGGAGGGCACGGCAGAGGAGGAGAAGACTCCACCTGCATGGGTGAGACGTTGAGCAGGGCATAGCTGAAACATGTCCAGTCATATGTGGGGTTCACACTCAGGATGCGTCTTGTCTCACCTGAAGAAATCAGAACACACTGTATTTTACTAGAACACTGAAAAGGCCCTAAATCTAGATAACCAAACCTCTGCTGAAACCCAAAGAGCTATTTTATTTTAGCTGTATAATAATAATTCCTCCATCTGCTACTAGGAGCTCATGATTACAAAATCACCTTTTCTAGTGTTTTTAAAGTTTTTTTCTAACATGGACATCGCTATGAACTGAACATTTGCAACACTATTTTCTCTACCTGTGCGTTTGAACTGGCGAGTCCACATGCATTTTCCAGAGGCAGTACATTTGGGGCAGTCAGAAGCCTCACAGCTGGTCTCAGTGCAGTTACTGGACAGGAATATCTCTCTCTGGTTGATCCGACAGTCATGTTCAGATGTACAGCTAACAGAGCTGCTAATACAGGCCCCCTCTGGACAGTTTGTGCACCACTTACACTGTAGAGCATGCTGGGAAATTCAGCAAAGAACAGATTTTAGTTGGCGGACTGTTGTGGTCTCATTTAGAGTCGGGGTGCCATATGTTACCTGTGATGGACTTGAGAATGTCTTAGGGTGTCGGGCGAGGCATTCACTGCAAGTCTTCAGTCTGCGGCACTGATCTGGCTGACGAGGGGTCGGTGAACAGGGAGACTGGCTGGTGAAGCAGCCCATTCTGATGGAGAAGGAGAGAGAGAAACATGAGGATAAATATTACCAAGTAACTGCACATAACTTCAGGTTTAAGAATAAAGTGCTATCTATTTAGTTTCTTTACCTCTCTGCAGTGTCAGAGGAAACACAGGTTCCTCTACACCAGGCACAGCTGCCTGTGGTGGTGTTGCAAGCCTCTGCTGTGGGCAGCAGGGCACAGGGGTCAGAGGGCACAGTCAGAGTTAAGACTCTGCCCAGTGTGACACCATTGAAGCCCCCTGATAGGAAGAGCCGGCCATCCCAGCTTGTCATGGCAAGAGACACTGATCGATTAACTGGATCTCCTATTACTGAGACTGTAAAAGAAGAGAAACAAAGGACTGTGTTAAGGTTATATATGATTTGGCCATAATTAAACCTGTAGAAAGACGTTCAGGCAGTCACCTGGTTGGATCCAGGTGTTACAGTTGATTTGATACAGAGACACTGAGTTACTATAATCTTCTGCTTCTGTCCTCCCCCCAACAACGACCATGGTGTCTTTGATTAGGGCTGCAGCGTGGAAGAAACGGGACAGGGGCTGCATAGCAAAGAGATGATACAACAAGGATAGATGTTATCTTTATGCAGCAGACTGATAAACTGCCTGGCCCGTATAATTTACCAGCATGTAAGACAGCTTCTTACCTTATTACCCTGTGAGGGGACCAGCAGAGACCAGGTAAGGTTGGGGTAGTACAGACTATAGAGCTCGCCTGAAGGCTCCACCGTCTCTACGTGAAAACGGTAGCCTCCAAAGACATAGATGGCATCAGTCTGCTCATGATAGACTGCTGAGTGGCCATATAAACCTGATTGAAGAACATATAAAACAAAACAGGTTTAAGTGCAACAGAAAAAAAAGAGTTTGCTATATGCATCTTTGTGTTGTCTATTTTAACACATTTTAGTTTTGTTTTATTTTGGCCTCTAAAACAAACAAACTAAATAAAACAACCATGTTCAACAATATTCAGACCATGTACAAAATATATTTGCTAACTATAACTACACAGTGTGACATTCAGAACAACACAGGAATGACCAAAAAGGTTTAGGCAGAAGCCAGTGTTTATTGTGCCTACCCTTATCACATTTAAACATCACACCATAATGCAATATATCCAGACCACATATTTCCCATAATGCATTAGCACATACATACACCCAGATCCACCTATAAGTGCACGTTTATATCTCTATACACACATAACTTATATCTAAACATGTAAAACAAAAGCATTTACTACACATCTACTATGGTGGTTTATCAATTAATTCTATTATACCTGTGGAATACCTTTCTTTTAAACAATCTTTTAAATTCAAAATCTAATAATGTATTTCTCTGTAGGGTAGACTAATGAATAGACATTTTTGTATTTACATTAGCAGTGCATCAAAGTAAATCCTTTGTTAGAATCCTTAAAAAGCAAAAGGCCTCAAAAACCTGTAGGTGGTGTCCCAGTGTGGGAGGCAATGGTCCAGTTTCCAGAATGAGGGCTGAACTCCAGTAGATGGTGGTTGAAGCCGTTCTCTGGAGAGTAACCACCAATCAACAGCACAGAGGAGTCTTGGCGTACAGTCAGAGTGTGGCCCGCCACTGGGGGCAGCACTGAGCTCTGTCAGAAGTGGAAGGAATTTTTAATTTGCAAGAGGTAGGAAAGACACAGGGACTGTTCAGATATTTTGTAAGTCTAAGCCTAACCTTGTGTTCTCTCCATACTAAACTGGTGAGATTGAGACTCCAGGTATCCATGGCAACTCCATTTTGCATGACACCACCGACTACCAACATGATGTTGTGACTGGCTCCGTGGCTTCCAAAGCCAGACTCGTGAGTGGTCAGCAGTGCAGATGCGTGGTGATAGCGAGGGCTTGGTGTTGAACCTTCTTCCACAGAACCTGTCAACATTTGGGTCCAACGGTTCTCCAACACAGAATATCTACAAGAATCAAAGACAAAATGTGTTATACACATAAATATAGTACATGCACTATTGCATACAGTACAATAATAGCTAAAAGCTTTTAATACTACTCAGAACAATGTCAGGTAGCATGCCCCTACCTGTAGACGTTCCCTAGAATGCCATCTGACAGAGAGAGTCCTCCATACATCCAGAGGTTACCTTGTGGTCCAGACACCAGAGAATGGCCCATCCTGTGGAGGAACCTGTGGGCCTGGTTCTGTGGAGCAACAGTGCATATGAATGTGTTTGTTTGCAATGGATTATAAAATTCATGAAATGTGGAGATTAAAACATTTTCTACTGTTTGCGTTATGTTCTGCCCATACCACAGTTAGCTGTGTGTCCAGCAGGGTTTCCCAGACCAGGCTGTTGGAGTCCCGAGGAACAGAGCAGTCTGTGTCAGCCCAGTTGCCTGAGCAGACACACACTCCAAGAGACTGAGACAAATAAAATATTGGTTTGCAGTCTAGGAATATTTGTTCTTAATTGTTTTTTAGTATTTGAAAATTCCTGGAAGTTCAACCAGAAACTCTTGCATAATTGGTAGAGTTCATACAGGCTGCATGATATCAGCAACACACATTATTCCACAGCTCAATGTCATTTTATAACTGAAGATTAGTATGAATGCACCACAACAAATCAAATGGCAAAAAGATATATAATATAACAAGTTAAATAAGAATATATGTTGTGTTATGGTACTACACAATTTCAACCATTTATTACTTGATGTCAAAATAGCAACTTGGAAACTAAAACCACTAAACTAAACATTAATATAAAGCATCACATCTCGAAGGTAAACATTAATATAAAGCATCACATCTCTTACTATATTACATGCTCCCCTTCCTTCTGCTATTCCACAATCCTGAGGACACAGAGGCCGGTCGCAGTGGGGCCCCCCATATCCCTGAGGACACTGGCAGAGTCCTCCTTGGCACTGGGCTCCTCCTGGACACACAAGGGAACCCTCTTCCCCCTCATCAGAGCTCTGGTGACATTGTCGCACCCAAAAAGAAGCATTGAAGCCTTGAGGTTTGTTTGAGGAGACGTTGGCCTCAAAGTAGACAGAGATCAGACCTGGTGGTAAAAGAGAAAATACAATACAATCGAAATGATTTCACACTTTGCATGTCTACTTGCTCACTGCAAGTCAGTCACAAATACTGTACCTAGTCTAGGGTTAAAGTGTTTATTAGTGAATGCGTAACTTAAGGTGGCACAAAGTTTGGTGCTGAATTTGAAGGATACCTGAGGTGGCCTCCACTGTAACAGGTTGTGTCCTTGTGGTACCACAAAATGCTCCAATTAAGTTGTGATCTGGGTGTACCACTCCATTGGCCAGAAAACGAGGAAGGCCATCAAATACATAGACGTATGAGCTCTACAAAACAAACCAAAGGGAATTTAACAGAGACAGTTAATGGAAAACTGGCAATTGAGGCTACAGCGCACTTAACATGTTTCTTCTTCGAAAGATCAAGTCATGGTTGGACTAACTTTACAATATGTATGGGAGTCTGGGTGTAGAGTGAGGGCTACAGGTGGACACAGCTGTGTGGGCAGACAAGGTGCCAGGTTCTCAGTCACAGACAGGACCCACAGGCAATGGGAAAGTCCTCCTTTGCCCTCGGTGCCACTTCGCCACCCGAGAGAAGAGGAGAGTGTCATGGCAGAGGAGGAGGAGGTGGAGGAGAGCAACACAGAACGACCCTGACACTGTCGGTAGCATGTGCCATTGTTCCTGTTGGAAACGGAAAGATGTCAGGATAGCCAAGTCATGATGAAAGAATCTGCAATCAACCAGATATTACAACTGTTTTCACACTACTGTTGTCAAAAATATCTCTTTTGATGCACATCGATTCTGAACATTTTGAAAAGTTTCAATTTTCAGTTTCTGTAGTACCGATAACAACAGGTATATTGGGGTTTTTCTGTGGTGCTAGCTCATTACAGATGGCAAGTGCAGAACCTCCACAACCAGTTTTAATAAAGAATATGGCAGCACTGCTGTATAGTGATGCTACAGTGCCAACAATAAGTACTAATACTAGTACTGATACTGACCATGCACCACACACAATGCGCGCTCCACTGCACAGAATCTGCACTGATGAGTGACTAATGAGGATAGACTGTTCTCTGCTACTAGCCAAGAAAATAAAGTTGTGCCTTGTTGTCATGTTATACTTAACTTTTAAATAAAATGTAAAATTGTATTTCCTCAATAAGGTGTCAACTTTCCCCCAGAGTATCAAAAATTGATATTTTTCAAAGTATCGTATCTAAGAAAAGTATTGTAACAACACTATTTCACACATACTACTTTTATCACTGTCTTAATCTCCACTCCTTGAGTTTAAATTGTTTTCAATCAGTTAAGACACACAAAAAGAAAAAAAACTGTGCATTACACTTAAATTATGTGGTGAAAATCTCCTTACCTGGGGTCTCCGTAGTAACCAGGCAGGCAGGACTCACAGTGCAGTCCCTGAGTGTTGTGGGTGCAGTAGCACTGGCCTGTCTGGTTGTGACAGTATCCTTGGAGAGGGTCGCCATGGCCGTTACATTCACAGGGAACACAGCCGCCTCCATCAGCCAGGGCTGAACCAAAGCTTCCTGGACGGCAGTGCTCGCAGTGTGGCCCCGTAGTCCAATCTGAAGCAGAGGAAGATTGTCACCACAGGAAATTTCACCCAATGTATAACCAAATGCAGTTTGGCACTGTTCACTCACTAGGAACAGTGAGTATAAATTTGTGGTGGCACTGTGGTGCAGTGGGTGAACTGGTGACTCTAAAGTGCCAGTAGGTGTGAAAAGAAGTGCATGAACCAGCTACTGAAATTGATCTGTTAGGGTCTTACCCTGGCATTCGTCACAGATCCCTGGAGCAGTAATACAGGTGGAGTGGAAGTTGCAGCCACAGTTCACATCACATTCAACACCACTCAGAATTAGAGTTGCAGGATCAGATGTCCAGCCCAGGGAACATTCACACTCATACCGTGGGCTGCCGCTACACTGACCCTTACGACACTCATTGTAGCATCTGTGGGCAAGAAAAAATAAAGGGGTTGGGGTTAGAATGTCCTTTTTTCAAGATTTACACAAACATTCCTGATGACTACATGAGAAAGATGAAGATGATTGTTAGGTTAATACAACTGAAAAATGAATCAACAGAGGAACACATGTTTAAGTGAAGTCTCTTACGTCTGGTTGCAGTGCAGTGTGCCATCCCCTGTGTATCCTCTCTCACAGTGGCACTCATAGGAGGTGGGAGTGTTGATGCAGGTGGCAAAGGGGTGACAGTTGTGGAGTCCCAGCCTGCATTCCTCAACATCAGGGCAGGTGGGGTAGGACCAAATTGCATCTGGCTCTTCGTCATCCAAATGCTCCAACTCCATCTCCATTTCCAGGGGTCGAGGTGGGGCCGAGGTCTGGGGCTCAGGGCTGGAAGAGCAGCACCAAGACACAGAAGTTTAATAGGTAGACTGTATCTACCATCTAATCATGTTTTATGGCTCTATGTACAAGTTCTGTTTAAGTGAAATACAAAGTTGACAGAAAAGGCATGTGCAGGTTTCAAAAACAAAACCTGTTACTATCCATCCATCCATCCATCTTCTTCCACTTATGCGAGACCGGGTCGGGGGGGCAGCAGTCTAAGCAAAGATGCCCAGACTTCACTCTCTCCAGACACCTGTTACTATTTACTAATTATTACATATTCTTTATACTATTATTTTTAAAGCAACTTTCCTATTTAATTTGGAGTAACTACAGTAAAAGAGCAAGTTAAGAGCTTCCATTCCAAAAACTGGATTATGACAAATGAATTTGGAACCTTTGGAAACCACTTTACCCACAATATTTAGTACTACATTACCTATATAACAAAAGCCCTTGTTGAAAAAAAATCTTACTTTGCAGCCCGTGCTTCAGCCACAGCCAAACTGCAGTTGTACACCAAGGGGTCGTCCATTCCTGCCCAGTCTCCCCTCAAACATCTGAAAAGATGTGTAGCAAACGATAAATAGATTTTTTTTTAAAATCACAACAAAACTGACTAAAAACATATGAATAACCTGACAACAAAAGCAATTTCTTAAATAGTAATTCAAATCTGTGGTGTGTTGACACTACATGCACTCTCTTGGTACATAGTATTTTTGTTTGCCATACTTACTTTCCAATTGTAGGATTGTTGTAATCGCCACACCAGCCACACTGGAATGTTCGCAGGCAGTCTGTGCATGTGTTTAAGGCTGAACACTGCTTACACTGGGGAACCGAATGAACACTGATGGGTGAGAGAAAAAAGAATAGACTAGTGCTCTAAAATTTGTTTCAAAACATTGACAAAATATATGTAATTGCTTTCGCAAAGCTTTGAAATATAAAGTCTAGTCAGTTGTTAGTCTTGTTTTTGCTGTACAACTGCGTGTTCAAGCTGAGTTTACCAAAACTAACAAAAACTTGGTAGAACTGTAAGTGGCTATTATGTGCAATAAATTTCAGCTGAAGATAAAACAAAAACAAGTTTTAAAAATGTTCTTATTTACCTGTCATACCAGTCCCTGCACTCTCCATAGGGGTATTTTGTGAGGTAGGCAGCAAAATAAAAACAGGCCTGGGCTGACTCACACCACGCACACTGGCTGGAATTGGAAAGGCACTCACCACATGTCTTTCTCCTTGGCGACACAAAGGGGATGACCAGAGAGGGGAGTACAACAAGGGTGAGTTACAGGTTCTTGTTGAAATCATGTATGATCTGTACTTGTGTTAAACATATAGTTTTTCAGCTCACTGGTTGCAGACTTTAGGACAACCCCTAGGATCACGTATGGATCCATCCATTCTTCCCCGTCGACTGCACTGGTAGTCACCTTTCTTGCTGGAGTTGATCTGCCACTCACAATAAGGATCCTGAGGGGCAAAATGATCTTTTCAAGAGTTATGAATACAGCAGCTCCACATTACGCTGTAATCAGAGGTTGATACAATATTTGATGATACAATATCCTGATACAAAATTTTAAAAAGTGTTGAGTTGTTATCTGTGTTGTACCTGAGTGCAAGCAGAGCAGTCTCTATACTCTTCACACAAGGTGCAGTGCTGGGGTGCCAGCAGCAGATGGCGCTGACCGTCTCCCATGACTTCCCCCTTCCTTTCCTCAGGGCAGGGCTCAGGCTCTGGGCCATCCCGCAGCAGGCAGCGGGACAAAGATGGACACCAGCCACAGGACTGGTCTGAGAGGCAGGCCAGACAGGACATGTACCCTGAGCAGGAACCTGAGCGGTAGGGCTCCAGGAACAAGAATGAGATCTCCTAGAAAAAGAGCAAATTACAGGGAAGAAAGGTAAAAGTACAGCTTTTGTTTCACCACTAGAGGAAACTCATTCTGCATTGTGACAGAATTGTTAATGTGTACGGAACACCAATGATTTTTTTTTCTTACTTTCGCTGTTCATACAGATTAAATGTCAAAGTCTTTGCAGAGAATGCTAAACTGTGCCAGTACTCACACTCCCTCCAGGCAACGTTCTGTTCCAGATCAGGGCCATCTCACTGGTCTGTCCCGAGCCTGAGTTGTTAAGGTAGCCTTCAGCCTGAACGAGGTAATGGTTGCCCCTGGTGAGGTTAGAGAACAGTCTACTTCCATCTGTGCGAGTTAGCAGCTTCAACTCCTTCTCCTGCTGGGCTGCCCAACGCCCCACCACCTCCTGCTCCGACAGTTTAAAGATGTACAAAGAATTATGGAATATTAAAAAGCGGAGAACAGTTGTATAAAATACTGCAAATTTACTAAATCTTTCAGTCATTTAATATAAAACATATCCTATATCTGTTATATCTTTTTGAATTAAAATTAGCATTCCAGAAATGTACATCACAAAACCTTTCCACAATCCATTACACTGTTGTATGTTTAATTTTGGGGGAACCAACACTTCAGCAGCAAACTGTCAAGAAGACACAAACAGTGTCGCTGTCATGTAAAGCAGATATAATTTAGAGCAAACACAGACTCTATCCAGGCTACAGTAGTTATAAAGAAATTATATCTAGTGAACATTATTTTACATGATTTTATTTTGAACAACTAATCCTTACATGTTCAGTTTGCTTTAAAAAATTTGTTGAATTAAAAAAAAAAACAATATGAAGTGCTGACAGGCATTTTCCCCTTACCAAATGGCTAGAATTTGGCCCTGATGCCATTCGAGCCTCAAAGTGGAGCCTCTGGATTCGAGCCCACATGGAGACAGTCTCGGTGGGAGGAGGTGCAGGTGGAGGAGCCCCCCATAATGGGTGGATAAAGCCCCTGAACTGTAGAGCTACGTCCATTTCTGTGGTGGGGCTAAGGATGATGTTGGTGCTGCGGAGGATGGACACCTGGCGAAGGGGTGAGGAGGATTGAGGATAGTGGAGGACGGGTGGAAGTGGAAACACATCAACAGAAGCACTATTCTCTACAAACTGCTCCACAGGTTTGACAACGTATTTGAAAAAAGGAGTTTTCTCTATGAGCGCATTGCAAAACAGAGAAAAAGGAAGAAAAGAAAAGAGAAGTGAGCATTGGAGTCAAGCGGTTAAATAGCCTTAAGCACAAAAAAGAAATGATCATCATATTCAATCATATTCAAGTTGAACAGCACTGGAGTTTAAGTGTCAAAGCAATGCTGAAGGAAGGAAGGAGGGATAAGTATAAGCAGAGAGGGAAGTAGTTACAACCACAGTTAGTACAGTTAGCACTTGAGATTTGGACTCCGTACCTTGTCAGGCTGGGAGTTGTTGCGGGGGTGCTGGAAGGTGAGCAGGTGCAGTCCCGGGACATAGTTCTCGGTGCGACAGGAGTGGAGGGAGGTTAGGAAACGGGTACGCTCCCCCCACCAGCCGTACGCCCCTGAGATCTGGTCCACACGGCACACACTTCGCTCTGTGAGACCGAGAGGGAGAGGTCAGCACACAAATAACACATCTGACCTCTTAAAATCTTATAATACAGCAGTTTCCTAAAGTGTACAAAAAAAGCGTCGTCTGTGACTTTTGTGACGTGTGTTCAAACGAAGTACGAAGGCATGATCTTGCTGCACCAAAAGAAACTGGCAATTGGACAGGAAAGTCAAATCACGGTCTGAGGAACCCATCCAATTTCAGCTTGGTGTAGTCAAGTCACTGTGCTCCGTCATTGACACACACACAACGTGCGTCTAGTCCCTCCCATATCAACTCCCAACATCTCTTTTTTCAGTCTGATGATTAGCCCTTCTCTTTTGCCCTCCTTCCTCCCTCCCTGGGTCTCACCTGACACCGGTAGGCAGGACTCATTCTGAACACACCAGCCAAAATCACCAGGGGCACGGGCCAGAGAAGCTGGAGTGCCACTGAACACCAGACAGGACTGGCAGTCAGACAGGAAGCGAGCCAAGCCCAGGCAACCATTACTGCCACACTGTTAATGCAATAGAGGGGAACATCATACTGGTAATTGTGACAGACCCATATAAAGACCCATTACAATGAAAAGAATGTTTTGGGTCTCTGGTAATATCTGAATAGATATAGAAATAATGCAGTTTGCTATTTTTACTTTGAATAAAAACAATGAAAAAAAGTGTTACCGGATTAGTGGGCTGGTACTCTCTACATCGGCCTTCACACCAGCTGCACTCTGGGTTCTTAAGGCACATACTTTCATCTAGTGCTTCAGCACAAACAGCATCCTGGTAACACAAACACATACACACACACAGTCATGTCTTCCTATGGTTGTGAGGAAACACACTGATATAAACCAATCAGGCATAACATTATGACCATCTGTACATACAGGTGTCTGTATATTTTTGTCCTGCGCATTGACATACACGAGAGGGTCAGAATATTAGGAACACCTGAATATAATGTAGTCCAGTACAACACCACCTTTAACTATGACTCAATAATTAACATATAATTGAATTTATACATTTATGACAATCTCACCAAACACTGAAACATTTTGAGCTTCATAAACACAAATGTTAAGGTGGAAGTGTTGCACTGAAGTGCATACAGATGTACAGGTGGTCATAATGTTATGCCAATCGGTGTATTGCAGCTACAACCCTAACACTTAACCTCATTCTAACACTTAACCCTAAAGCCAAGTCTTAACCCTCAAACATTCCTTTGAAGTTGCAAGGACTGGTTAAAATAGCCTTTTAACCCCAAATTGCCCCCAAAACAATGGCAGTAAAAACGAAATGGCTCCATACACAATATAATAAAAACATGTACACCCACACACATTTAGTTACACCTTAATCAACACATTTCTCCATCCTTTTGCTCATTAGTCACTTTCACTCACCCTGTCCCCTTGATCGCTACTGACAAACAGTGGAACTTTGTAAGCCACCAGGTCTCCAAGAGCAACACCACTGTAACCCCCAGCAACCAGCAGCACTCGCCCTTCCATCACAGCAGCAACATGCGAGTACCGCCCACGAACAGCATCCCCACCTCCAAAAACAGAAAGTTTTGTTAGCACTGTATGTATAGATGTGCAAGAAACAAGTTATAGATGAAAAGTGGACTGTGCATCTTAGTGTGCAAGAGTTGTGACTGAAGATAAAGTCTATAAGAACTCACTGTGCGACCATCTCTCCCCAGCAGACACCCACTGATGACAGCCCAGATGATAAAAGAAGATCTCCTCATCATAGCACTTCTCTTCTTGATAGTGAATATGTACATTCCCTCCTGGAAGAGCAAGGTGGGAAGAAAAAAGATAAACATACACAAGAATGCATCAATCACAATATATTATGTTTGCTAATTTTTTCAGTGCTCACCGTAGACCACCATGTAGTTTCCAATGACAGTGGCTGAGTGGAAAGCTCTCTCTCTGGGGCCTGTTGCTGGGAAACGGGAACGGAAAGATGTCCAAAACCGCCTGTCCACGTGGAACACATCGGTGTTGTTCACCCTCACACTAAACCTTAGGTAAATATACAGCAAAGGTACTCTTAATATCGCCAAGTACTCTGTGTATCTTTTCATTTTCTTGTTGGATTATTCTCAAAGATTTCACTGTTTTAAATCACTTCTAATTCTGCAATTTTATGTTTTTGTTATGTAGAATACACAAAAAATATCCGATCTTCAGGCCACAAATAAAGAGATGTTCACTCCAAAACTAAGCAGAAACTGTGCCCCTTTCACACATCACATTACTATATCCAATTTGTTCATGAGAGGGTGTATACCTGGCAGTGGTAGGCCTGTGGCCTCCATAGACCAGCAGTGTCCTGGATGGGCTGTGGAAGACCATGGAGTGTCCAGCTGTGGCGGGGGGCTTCCCACCAGTGGGCTGAACCGTCTCCCACCATCCAGAACCATGGAGATCGAACCGATAAAGAGAAGAGGAAAACATATCCTCCTCAGTGCGACCTGGGAAATAAGGAGAGAAAAGGATGTTTTAAAAAAACCCACTCCAGTACTATTTATTTCCAAAGGATAAACATCCTGTATGCCAATCAAAATACAGACTGCAACATATTCTGAAACCCACCTCCAAATACATAGAGATAACTGTCTACTACAGCTGCAGCATGATTGGCCAGTTTAGGAGCACCACGTGAAGTTGAAAAGCCAATTTGTTGCCAGTCATCGTTGGATGGCCGGTACATCCAGACATCACTGGCCAGGGAGCCGTTGGCTAGCTCTCCTCCGAAAATAACCAGGTTACCCATCCATTCTACTGCGGTGTGGGAATGACGAGCCACCTGACAATATAGGAAAGCCAGAAAGTGCAAGGAGGATGGGAAGGACACAGAAATGTAACATAATAAATGGGAATGCTTAAATGTATGTTAACTATGTTTCATGTATAGGGAAAAAATGGAAACTGGGAGAAATCAGAAAATAGGAGAACATGTTTACTACCACCATAATAACCTGATTACTATAAAGCTTATATTGACAAAATTGGTCTATAAACAGATTTCTACCCAGATTTGACATATTCAGCAAATATTCAAAAAGAATTAGCTGCATTGCTAATCACACTGGTCAGATTGATCAGCTTTCCCACGTGTTTTTCGATATTCCCCTGGACTCACCATTCAGTGTCAGAATTTATGAGCTAGAGTTAACATTATCCACTTGCACTACACACGGCACTACAGCAAAATAAGATTTAACCTACAGTATTTTACATTATTTTTCAATATTTGGCAGTCAATGTTGATAGTGTGGCAGCCTACCACAATTAAATCAGTGTATAGGAAACTCTTTTGATTTGATTTTATTTGATTTTATTCTTTCAAGCATGTAAAGACAGTTGATATGACAACACACATGATTGCACACATAATCCAATATCAATTTACTTATA